AAACAAGGGTGTTATATTTCTGCAGTTTTTTTACTAACCCTTTTCTAAAATGTTATTGGCTAATTGCTAACTACTATTTTATACAAAATTAGAATATGTTGTAATGCAAGAGTTGCACCTCAGTAAACATTTGTGTATGTCGGTACCAGCGTCTCAAATGCGGTCCACGTTCGGTCACAATATATCCATAAATCTACTTTAAAGCGGGGGAGTCGACCTGCGCATGCGTCAGATGGCGATAGCGTGTCATTGTTTACAAACAAACGTCTACCCATGAGCCTTTGCGTTTTTAACGTGGGCTGTTATCGTCGCTTGGGACTCAATTCCCGCGCGTGCGCAGGTGACGACCCTCCCGTCTTTAGCTGTTGAGTATGTGCCGTTGTCACTCTCTCGAGAAGGGGACAATCCAGCAGAAACTTGAATCAAATGAGGCCCTGCATTAGGGTTATTTATCCCAACAACTTCTTACGCTTTTAACAATCATGTGAGCAACTCTTCTATAAATCACCTGTCACGACGTTTAATGCGTTCTACTAAATTGTGTGAAGTGTCGCGGAAGGAACTTACTTCCCCGTTTCAAGCTGTGGAAAAAAAATGCCGATAGACAATGAACGTGTCAGGTCATTTCCGCCGCTATCTGCCGTAATCAATTTTAATATGTTTTTTTAGAACTGCTTTAATTTCCTTTCTTATTGTAACAGCGGCTCTACTATATTCTAGCAATTTTGTTTTCACATCGGCATTTTATGCCTAAAACAAATAACGTCTTACACGTTACATGCCTACACGTGACCAAGCACAATCACGCCCCGTGTGACACATTACTAGAAAACAAATATAGCTCATTGCCGCTATATTTGATGTCCGAAAATTTAGATTTGAAGTGCTAGTATTGGCATGGAAACATTAGAAATTTTTAAAATATGACTTTTATTTCTACAGACACACAGAAATATACAGGTTGAAAAAGTACATTAAGATCCAGATTACACAAAATAGTAACTGGATCACATCACATGGTCGTCATGGATACAATTGATGACAATTTAGCATGTATGGGAAGATCACCCCGGAAGTTAACTACGCACTAAATAACTTCATCTCAGAACAGACTTGATACTAAGTGTTGTGGCCATTATGTAAATCTACTACGAATCTTATCCAACCATCGTTTGACGTGTCTGCGTTGGGATAATTTCCAGACGACATCACTCTCCAGTAGTCATGTGACATGGTCCATCGAGAATGTAAATTAAATCCAGATAACAGTAAATGTAAATCCTGAAATGAAGCAAAACAGATTTACAGTTAAAACAACCCAAAATGTGTTTTCTTTTTCCACACGAGTGGATACAAATGCTTTAACATGCACGGCGCCGATCTATAGCCGACGTGACATCATTTGGGATACCCCCCCCCCAACATACAATCAATAGACAATAAATACGTGAAAAATCATTAGCGTTAGAGTGTGCTGAGAAATTTTGCGCTTTTTTAAATAACAAACAAAAAAATGTGTTATGTGTTTACACTCGGTACTCTTTGTCACATTTGTTTCCTTGTAATTAATAGAATGCGTCGTATATACAATGGAATGTACTATGCTTCATGTATGCGCATGCCCTGTAATTTGCATATATTGACCTTGGGAAAATGTATATATAGTATCTGCATAAAACGTTCCTGATTGACACTTTATTTTTTACCAAGTGTCTAGAAATAAAATTGTACTCTACAGAAAAAAATTGTAGTAGTACATAGTTACGTCATAAATTCACATAAATCGGGTGAACATCAAACGCGTCCAAGGATAAAACATCTTACCTTTAATTTAGGACAATGAAGAAATTATTTCACATTTAGATGTTCGGTTCTTCGTCAACATCATATGCGAGTTTACTGAAATTAAAAATAGAATTATGTAACTATTAGCTCACTAGCTAATTCTTGCAAACTCGTTCATTAACGCACAGATAGGGACTGTGATTGACGGTAATGATAATATGTATTGGGGTACGATAGTTGAACAATGAACATCAACAAATAACCTTAGCCACACATGGCCGCCGAAATCTCGCTGAGAGCGAGAAAGCCGCGAGACAGACTTGCGCTATCAACGAGATCTCGTCGTCCATTTGCATATAAGATCTGTTCATCATCAAGTGGGCTTACTCGTCCTCGTCACTGGAATCTGACATATCCTCTAAGAGAGAGTTGATCTCATCAGCTGACATATCTTCAATGATCTCAGTGGCTGCTCGCAGTAAAGCAAAGACGGCGTTCGACACGGTCGTTTTGTCAGTGCGCTTCCCTGGTCTTCCGCGACAACTTTTCATGCGCAGTCCAGCCTTTGTTTTGCAGATGTTCACTGCGTTGGTTGACTGGATGCAGATCACCACTGTTACAAGCAATGCGATAACAACTTGTCTGGAATACATGATTAGCTGGAACAAATAAAGAGAGAATAATGAAATTAAGATAACAACTCGTGAAATTAACTCGCTGCTTGTTGGCAAGATACAATTATTGTTAAGACACGGTCGGGTAAATCTTGAACACTTTTCTGCTGGGTCCACCCTCAAAACTGTCACTCCTGGAATGTATGTACTATAGGTTACCTATTTGAATTCTGGCGAATTGGAGGAATTTAGTGTTTTACAAATATCGTCTTCACATACGTTATCAAGCTTTAATTAGGTCATTTTTAGGTGATTTGAAGGTGTCGAAAGAGTCACTGGCAGTACTTAGTGAAAGTCGCGCCCAGATCAAACCTCATATTATTTATGATTTCCATTAGAAGAGAGCATTGGGGTGTGAGAAAACATCTGCGCAGCGCGACAACCACCGCCCTTTAAATATTCATGTAATTATGTGTCCCTGTTTGGAAAACGTTGTCACAGCAGAACCTGAGCGAGTGCTGATTAGCTAGCGACGTTGCATGCTGGTTGTAAAATATGTGATCATATGACATCGTATAATATACTGTGCAAGTACATAAAGCACACCAGTGGATCATTGATTGACCTCTGACCTAGTGGTTTGTGACGACGTGGTTTCGGGATTGGTCGACCGCTAGCATTTATAAAAGCAATACAAGTGGTACCTGGATATGATTGCATTTGTGATTTTCAGACGACTGACTGTTCTGAGTATTTCCGGTTGTGAAATATACTTCTGGCTAGAAACTTCATTTGTCCATATTGCCGCGTCCAAAACGCATGTTTTTCAGTTTCATATTCACTTTTGCTGGGCGCAATCAATCAATGACGAATCCGGTAAGATCT